CAATAAAACTGGAGTCACAAAATTATTACGAAGCAATCTAATGAAAAAAAAAATGTATCTTACATTTGTTTTAAATGTGAGGCTTGGATAGGAAATTATAATCATAATATATAATAAAATTCAAACATTTCAGTAATAATAAAACTGAATTATTTATATAAAAACTCATAGCTACATGTACATGTAAAAAGCCATTAAAACATCCTACAAAATAGTTTTCTTCAATATTTACATTTTACCAACAATTCATAATTCTTATGTCATGAAAAACTTAGAACACGCCCTTATTAATTAACTCAACATAATTATTTAATACATATTAATCTTCTTCATTTATCGCTATAACAGATAACATTTAAATATCACATTATGAAACGCTTTTAAATTACAACAAACAAACCCCCGAAAGTGCCAAATTGTAGTAGATTTAAAAAAGCGTTGGTGTAAAATAATTCATTTAAAAGAACATTACACACCAAAATTACAAGGAACAATAATAATACCCAAAAAGCCTACGTGCTGCACTATATAAAATAATTACAAAACACGTTCTATGCCGATGATGCAACTCATTTTGAGGGTCGACAAGGTCTATAAAATCGACCCTATTAATTTTATTAATTACTTATTCATTTATAAAATAAATTACTTATCAATATTAATTCATTAATTTTATTAATTATACTTGATAATTACTGAATTTTATGTCTTTATTCTGTTAAATTTTGATGAGAATTTGATGTGGAGTTTACTCACTTAACCAACTGCAAAGTTTTTAAATTGGTAATTATTTTGTATCAATAGGGAAAAAACTAGAGATAGGAGTTTTAAAGTAATTTTGGTAAAATGGGGTCGAGGTATCAGATCATTTTGGAAAAGGGGTCTCTTGTCCAAAATAGTTTGGGAACCCCTGATCTAGTTGATAGGACTTCTTTTCTCTTACGAATACGTCTGGATAGGTACCACACCCTCTTACTTACTTCTGCCGCCAAACACAAGTGCGTGCACTGCCGTGTTCCGGTCTGAAGGGTATAGAGTGCGAATACAATTTTTTTTATGGATTAGGGTGACTAACGAGCACACAGTCCACCAAATAGTAAGTGGTTGCTGCGGCCCACATACATCTACAGTTATCCTCGTTTGCGAATCAAAATGCAGATGCGTTGTCACCCGTGAGGACTAAGATGGAATGCCTCGTTTCCAGTAAAAAGGGTCTCCGGTTCTCTACACTCGCCATACGAAACACAGCAGTGTTAAGCTGCTATTTTACGCTAGTATTCTGTGAGAGCGTGGTCCTTCCCCGGTCGAGCCGACCCATTCGTGCTACAACTATACTACTATCTACTAATATAGCTGTAGCATGGCTCTACCACGTTTTGAAACAAATAAAGGCTGTGAGGCATTCTTCAAAGGTGCAGTGGCACAACGCATCTGCAGTGGTGTCCATGAACTGCAGTAAACATCTAAATTTTATGATACTCGATAAGATATTTCTTGGTAAGATTTCACTTTATTATTCACCTCATTTAAAGGAAAATGTAGCTCAGTTTAAATAAGAGACTAGCTAAGCTAAATGTTGAACATAATGCGAGACATTTTTGTTACTCAAACAGAAATTAGGTCTGTTTGTTATAAATAAATCGTAAATAAAAATAGTGTTTAATTATTATTTTTTTTATATGAGAGGGGGGCAAACAAGCATGCGGCCACCTGATGGTAAGTGACTATCGCCGCCCATGAACAACTGTTGCACCAGGGGAAAGAAAGAAAGGCCTTTCTTTTCTTTAAGGTCCTTATTAAGTCTAATTAAGTTCTTATCTTTCCAGTATCTTTTCTTATTAGTCATTGTTTATGGACTTTGCAGTACAGTATTCATTATTTTTGAAACCTTGATTTGTATTCAGTCACTACTTAAAAATACTATGCCAAAAATCTGTCAAATTATAAGTGACACCAAATTGATACTATAATAAATTGACTACACGTATAATACTTTAACACTGTGAAAGTGAGAACAATCTTATATGGAGGCTTAGACTGAGTGTCAACCAAACTGCATTACATACATAATATAATTGAGCAGATGTTACATACATACATATTAACTTCAAAAACTAGTCGCACCTCCGGCATAGAATAGCAGTTCTAAGCGATGAGCGTTTACGAAATTATCATAACATCTAATTATCTGCACACAAAATGCTTAAATAACAGTCATACTTAAGTGGTTCACATTTATAAAAACAAACTGAACATCTCATAACAAAAGTAAAACTACTCCTATTACAAAATTTTATGAAGTAGTATTCTAAATTGTTTCAGCTACACTAGACTGTTTTGTATATGTCGTATCGAATTCTGTATTTTTAAGTACATATAAATATCAGAAGGCACTAAGACCCTAATCTACAATCGTTTCTGTACATGGATGATGATTCCTATTACGATAGTCAATTGCTTCATTGACAGTTACATTTTATTGCATTTTAAAAATCTAAAGCACTAAATAGCGCCCCATTTCTTACATAAATATGTAAAATAGTTTTTTAAAAATAATATTAGAACCGTTTAATATTCCTTTCTCTTAATAGCTCCCGTTTAATCCTGCATCAACGTTCTTCATATTAAATGATGACTATCTCGGACAACCTTATAATTTCAATGACACGACATACTAGGTAGGTACAACCCTCATTCTTCATTCTCTCTTTACCACTAACGTGAACCTGAAGTTAAAATAACACGATCCCATAACGTTACTTATTCTTGAATTAATATGATTTGAGTAGGTTGGTTACCCATGTATATATCGTATGGTGTAATTTTAATATAATTTTTAAAATATCTGTATACGACAGATGTGAAACCATTTATGGAATGGTTATTGGGCAACATCTTGCAAACATACGACTAGCCAATAATTAATCATAATATATATATACAATCCAAATACCTAACAGTAAAGCTGGAGCAATTAACAATTTATTTTTTATATTCTCATACAATATGTAAAAAAACCCTGTTCCATCTGTGAGGGTGCTTCAAGGTATCGTGATATGATTCTGTTCATGCAATCTTTTCGAGAGAATAAATTAAACAATAGCCCGACAAATAACATGCATACAGCTCGAAGAACCAACAACCGATGGGCAAGAAAGACAGTGAGACTCGCACGGGCAAGCGTAGTGTAAGTGACAGCCTGGTAAAACCCGTACGTAGTCGATGGACGCAGGTGGCTCAGAACTGTACTCTGTGGCAATCTATATATGTTCAAGAGTGTGACAGTGTATGACCCTCTCTAAATTAAATTAAATGAAGAAACTTACATGGCAATATATACGAAGGGAGCGGCCGTCAGGTAACAATACATAGAGGTCATGACGCATTCATTAGAAACAAAAATTTTAAAAGCTATCACTTCTACCCAAAACCATTAACATTAATATGTTGTAACAATAAATACATTTTATATACTCTTGATTAGAGTATGATTTTCGCAGAACACAATCACAAGTGGTCAACACAGCAACGGAAATGATCACTCTCAAGCAAACTGTGCGCGAAACAAAATTCAAAAGCTGACGGTTATTTTGATTTTTTTTATATAAGAGAGGGGGCAAACGAGCAAGCGGCTCACCTGATGGTAAGTGACTACCGCCGCCCATGAACAACGGCAATACCAAGGAGGGAATTGCAGATGCGTTGCCGGCCTTTTAAAAAGGAGTACGCTCTTTTCTTGAAGGTCCCTAAGTCGTATCGGTCCGGAAAAATCACTGATGGTAATCGATTCCACAAGGAAGTTGTGCGAGGAAGAAAACATCTTCTAAATCGCACAGTGGTGGACCGCCAATCATCCAGATGGTGTGGATGGTATCGGGAGTTCTGCCGCAATGTGCGTTCGTGAAATTTGGCGGTTGGGATTAATCCGAACAATTTCTCAGAGCACTCCCCATGGTAGATGCGAAAGAAAATGCAAAGGGATGCAACATCTCTTCGCAGTGCCAATGAATCGAGCCGATCGGAAAGGGCTCCGTCGTCGACGATTCGAGCCGCTCTGCGCTGGATGCGGTCAAGTGGAAGGAGCTGGCACTGGGGAGCCCCTGCCCAGAGATGGGAACAGTATTCCATGTGAGGCCGAACCTGTGCCTTGTAAAGTTGCAGGCGGTGTGCCGGCATGAAATACTGTCCCGCTCTGCTGAGCACGCCAAGCTTTTTAGAGGCCAATTTGGCCTTCTCTTCCAAGTGACCACGAAACTGCACGTCACTCGATGTCGACTCCGACGATACCGATACTGGCTGAGGCAAGAAGGGGAGTGCCTTGAAACTGAGGAGATACAACAAAGGGGTTCTTTTTAGCGGTAAACGCGCAAACTTGTGTCTTCTGAGGATTAAACTGGACTAGATTGCACTTACACGTTTCGCAGCGGTGCTTTTATGCACGAGTTGATGTTGTCGAAATCGACACCGATAGCGCTCCGCGTTCACAAATGTAGGTAGAAGCATTGCCAAATTAAAAAAAAAACAGAAAATTATAATCGTTAATAAATATGTTTTTTTTTTTGTAATATCATTGTGGTGCCTATGAGCGCCTTTCAGATTGGATCGGCTTTTTTACATATTGTATATAAAATGAGTACTGACTACATTAAATGCATTTTCACTCATTTCTAACACTACCTATTTACACATAGTAATTTACAACTTACAAGAAATATACGATTAAAATCATTTGCCATAAATATTATCTGTACTGGTGTCATAATTTGTATTATAAAATGTATTTTATATTCTAATTATACATAAAATGTTAATGGCTATATGATAACTCATAAGAAATGAACTAGATTTTACCGAGATTCCAATTCTTACAATTGCCGATAGTAGCCATAAACAGTTATCAAATATTAAAATAGAAATGCAAAAAAAAATACTAAAATATCATGATGCACAAAAAAGAAACTTGTAGTTTCAATACTCTATGAGTGACATAATATTTATAATTAAGTGCTATAATGTCGGCGATTTTTTATTTTTGATACCAAATTACAGATTTTTAGGGCTGGACCTAATTTTAGACCCATGTACTTCATCATCATATCTGAGTTCAAAAGCAGGAGAGCTTTTCCATCAATTTCCTGTAACAATCAAAATAATCTTTTATAACACTACATTCAATTATACACTACAATATAATAACTAAGCAATATCATACTAATATTATAAATGTAAATGTTTTATTGTTTGGGTATTTGTCTCCATATCACTCTTGAACTGTAGAACCGATTCTAATTAAATTTTGCACAAAAATCGCCTAAATAGTTCAATATAAGATACTTTATATAAAAATTATTTTAAAGATGGTAAAAATTACTTTGTCTATATCCGCTTAATGAAATAAAATAATGTGTCTTACCTAGTTTGAAGAGCACCTCCCGTCCTCCCTCAATTGTGTGCTAGGAGGTGCTCTTTGATTTTATTTCATTGAGCGGATATAGACAAAGTAATTTTTACAAATTATAATCAGTTTAATTTATTCCCAGCAAAGCAGGCGAGTAACAGATAGTTTGTTAATATACGTATTTGTATTTAGTTTAGTTTCAGAAACAGTACTGTAGTTTAAGTAAAAAGAAATTTAAAATAGTTCATTTACAGAAAAAATAGTTTTAAAACATAAGTAATCAAATATATCGATGTATTTTTCTTTACAAATAATTTAAGAAGCTGAATTTATTAATGATGGACTTGAGCCTCTCCCCTTAGGCAGAAGAATGTGCAAATTGAAGCCAACAGTAAGCCATTTATGACTGGCGCATTAATGATCAGAATAATAGACATTTCGCACATTTAAAACTATTGCACATTGCCGGTCCGCGTCTCTGACCAACAAAGAAAGACAGAAGCAGCGCTGCGTATATTTTAAATGATGCCTAAACTATGCTCAACGTCTTAACACGCACTGACACACACATGTTTCTTCTTTCTTTCTTTATCAACCCGTAAAAGTTCACTGCTTGTCGTACACATATGCACATAAAACTATGTTGGTTGCAGATGATTTTAAATAAATATGTGCATGTGAGTGAGTGTTCTTACAAATTGAGCATGGTTTTGCCTTGGCTTTTGCGTCACTTGAAATGTACGCAGCACCCCGGCTTTCTTTTTTCATTGGCCTAAAGTCCATAAAATCCTGACATATACCATCAATTAACCGTTTGGTGGCTCAGTAATTAAGAATTGATGTTGCAGCTCGAATCCTTCATGAAACCAGTGTTTCTATGACCTACAAATAATTGGGGATGGATATTTATCATTGTGCATTTTTTAATTTAAAAATTAATCGGATAAACCTAGTTCCCCACTAAAATCGTACAACTCTCAACACTTGAGCAGTCTTTTCTATACCTGACGATTATTTAATATAATACATTTTTAAATGTTACTTACATGTTTTCGAAATAGATCAGCGTGTGCTGCCAGTGCCTGATCAGCAGCTGCTATAAACCCAATAACGTCCTCCACTGACCAATCGGCGGGGGGCGTCGCGGGAGAAGGCGGGGGCGGAGCGCCCGTCGTCGAGGACGCAGGCTCCGGCCGCTCAGGGGATACACGGGCCATTTTTCCTCCTGACGCCTCAACTGTGCCATTTACAGCACTGTTTGCTGGCGATTCCTGTATAAAAATAATATATATATCGTCCATCCTCAAGTAAGCACATTATATCTAAAATACTAATACGACACAATTTTTTTAACGTTTAAACATGCAGGCCACAGTGAAAATTTAGCAAAACTAAAAAGAAAACAAATGCTATGGTTAAAATTTTTATTATTAAATCTATTCTCCACCAGCATCTATACACAAAGTTTCATATGTCTGAACCATTCGAAACCCTTTTTCCTGTCACCTCTAACCCAAAAAGTGACCCAAAAAGCTTAACTAGTGTGATGTCCAGGTCCCGTGTTCGGTCGCTTGTTTCTGACAGCAGTGTACACTTTTGGCAAGCATTTGGTAGTATTACCATTCGGTTACTACGATTTCGTAAGGGAAACACCAAGTTTGAAAAATTGAAAAATTGAAAAATGATTTATTGATTTACAATGATACCAAGTACCTTGTCAAAGTAAAAAAAAACTAACGTTCAAAATCTTCTCTTTGCTTCTCGATTGCATCACTTGGTAGATGTTGGTTCCTATTAAAACAGCCAAACCATTGATAGGAGCTTCGTCTATGGGTCTATGGTATTGATAAATCCAAGATTCATACATAACCTGTCGTAAACACGCCGAAACGAGTCACGAAGCAGGCTGCTTCAAATTTAGTTATCATGTCACGGCACCATTCCGCGCGGGCCATTCTGAACATCAGTGAGGTTGTGCGACACAAATGCACAAAGGTGGTATTTAAATGACCGAATATAAATTCAAATTAACGAGTGTCAAAAATACTGATTATGGCGCACTGAAATACTAAATGGGGGAAAGACTGAGGGCGAATACAAATATTGAAAACGGCGGTTTGACAATATGATTTTGAGTTACGAGTTATTCAGAACGATCAGTAAAATAATTCTTAAGCGAACAAATTTCTATTAGAGTAACAATTTTGCAGCTCAAATTATATTCAACATCTAGTATATTTATTTCAAAGGTTTTGACTTATATACTTTTTGATATTTTTTTAAATTAAAAAGTTCAATTCTTTCAATATTATATTTTATATCATTATAATGTACGTATGTAGGGTGATCCAAGGGCCACCCCAGCCGCACCTTAAATCCACTGTCACCCAATCAGTATTTTTTTCGCCCAATTTAACATTTAATTCGAACACTTGGAATTTTAGTTGTTAGCTTAGAATAACTGTTTTCCACTGTTAATAGCTCATTTTACGTATTTTTAGTCATTAATTAAGTAAATTTTTCGCAAACATAATCTAACACCACTCGGTTTAGTATTAAAGTATCTCATTAAAAGTCATCCATGTTATTTATTCGCCCGGTTAATAATTCCCCAATGCAAAACTATCCTTCTCATGTGAAGGTTTTCGTGTAAAATCTCCTGAACGCTTCCAGATTCAATCCTGAATCACTTTATACTATAATATTCTAAGTATAATGTATTTTAAATCTTTTTTTATAGGATAAGGGTGACAAACGAGCACACAGTCCACCTTATGGTAAGTGGTTGCTGTGGCCCATAGACATCTGCATCTATCCTCGATTACGAATCAAAATGCAGATGCGTTGTCTCCCGTGAGGACTAAGATGGAATGCCTCTTTTCCAGTAAAAAGGGTCTCCGGTTCTCTACACTCATCATACGAAACACAGCAGCATTAAGCTGCTATTTTACGCTGGCATTCTGTGAGAGCGTGGTCCTTCCCCGGTCGAGCCGACCCATTCGTACTACAACTATACCAGTAATATAGCTGCAGCATGGCTCTACCACGTAAAAGTATCTCAATTCTATTTTATAATATTTTATAAAATAGTACCTATTAACCTTTTTATATTTAAATTGTCCATATAAATCTTTCTGGTCTTATTTTTAAATATCGACCTTATGGCCGAACTGTGAAATTATATATTGTTTATCCTCACAGACAATATAAATAGAAAATCTTCACAAAGAACAGCAATACGTTTTCTAACTTATTAGCCTTATACTTAATGGATTACTATTGAGATGTCCAATACAGTGCGGTTAGAATGTCCGATGGTACCTCTTTAAAAATAATAAGTCTAAATTGCTGATAATAACTATTCCCTCTTCGATTTTTCGAGTTGAATATGAAAATATGGACTTCAGAAGAGAACTGATGAAGTAAGCCTTCCTTCGGAAACAGCTGTTTAGCTATGATGTTTCAAATCGAATGTTCCCGACGCAGATCCATTGTTTCAATGAAACGTGATATTTCAATTTAGTTCAAAAAAAATGTGGAGGGAAACTCAAAATTGGAACTTATTAAGTGAAAACTTCTTTAGAATTGTTGTGATTTGAAACTCGATGCAACAAAAACCTATAAGATTTAGCCTAATAGAGAATTAAATAGAGTACAGTATACAATATTCCCTATTATCTCGCTTCCTTTTCTGAAGTTTTCACTTCTATCGCGTGTGAACTGCACACATTTTTTTTTTACTTGTTAAACATATTTTCAAAATAAATTATAACTGGCCAGCATGTAATACAAAATACTTTTTTTCGCAAATTTTCTGCATAGCCAGTCATTTATTCCGAATTATATTAATCGCGCGCAGAAACTTTGCCGATGACGTCATAACGTCACGTGTCGATTGTTAGTACGGTTGACAAAAGGAAAATTTTAAATTTTAAATATTTATTGTAAGTGTAATTAATAAAAAATGTAATAATATGATAATAATTATAAATAAAGGTAGTTTAATAATTAAGTTGTAGACATTTTTAGTAAACACGTATAATGTTAATTAATTAAATTTAATATTTTATGTTACAATTAAGTTTTCCCACACAATGTATATTGTTTTTGGAATAAATGACTATGACTATGACTAATCATCATAATCCATTGAATTAGAATCAGACATAACTGTATCACTTTTAGTATCCATTTCTAGCCCATTGGAGTCGCTATCGCTGTTTTGACCTATAGAAATAATTAATTCTCTTTCGTAAATTTTTCACAATCTATCTTGTTCCCAATACTTTTGACGCAAGCAGATCGCTTGCGTTAAAACGTGGCTTTTCTGCCGACTTCCAAAAAGGAGACGGTAGTCAATTCGACTGTTTTTTTTTTATGTGTGTTACCTCATAACTTTTTACTGGGTGCACCGATTTAGATGATTCTTTTTTGTTTCAAAGCTGGTACTTCTCGTGTGGTCCCATATAAATTTTATCAAGGTCAGACCAATAGTTTTCGAGTTATTCTTGATAACTTATATTGAAGTCGGCTGTACAAAATTTTTAATTTTAAATTATTCCAATCACTTGGTGTTATGCTTTTTATAACATTTTGGGTTAAATTTAATATTTCTCTTTCGGATTAGGTTACATTTCTATCGGCGACGCGCTGTTTTATTAAAATCCATACATACTCTATGGGGTTTAAATCGCAGTGATACGGTGGTAACCGGAGCAATTCATCATGTCTTTTTAACAATTCGTCAACCAAATATGTCTTAGGTGGCATTGTTATTTTCATTAGATGGTATAATTCTTTTTTGGTCATGTTTTCATTATAGGTAATATAATGATCACGTAACCAATTCTGCATATGTTCTTTAAGTGATGAGGAAGTCGGCCGTTTTTGTATCTGTTTGCTAAATAAGGAGCATCATTAATAAATACTATGCCATTTGAAGGTACATTAAAAATGAGCTTTTCGTTTAACCATTTAAAAAAATTATCACTATTCATTTCTGCATGATAGTCACCCATGGAACTCTTACATTTTTAAATTAGTTCTGCGTTTTCTATGAAGCCATTCTCATCCCCAGTGTGAACTATATCCACCTTTTTTATAATCCACCTTTGGACCATATTAAAATTCTTTCTTACACTAGCGTCTAAAGAATTTTGCCAGCAATTGGCGACGGTGTAATGTTCTTATGAGACAGGTTACTTATCAGCACCAAGTTCGTCATTTTCCTTTGACCGTCGTAAATACCTTGCTCTCCAAACCGCTATATCCGGTTTTTGTACAAGAAAATCGCTAATATTTTTACATTTTCGGGATTCCAAAAAATATTAAAATAAAAGCTGGGTTATAGATTTATAACCCAGCTTTTATTTTAATATTTTTCTCAATGATGTTTTTTGACCAGGAAAGTTCAATTCGGTATTTGCAACTGCTAATATTTTTCTAACAGATGTTATTTTTTTTACGCTATAAAACTCTCCACAATATTTCTAATAGCACAAATGGTAAAATCGTCAATGTTTAGGTTCTTTTTCTTAGGCGTTCTAAATTTTACTTCTTGTGTATCAGCCGATGTGCCTGGTATAGGTTTAGTGCTCCTAAGATTCTTGGCTTCATTCTTTACATTTCGCAGGGTTCGAACACACACCCCAGTGGCCTATCTAGCGCGATCTAACGCACGTTCAAAGGGAATTATAGGCGAACCTTTTTGTTTTTCCTTCTCAAAAAACGTTAGAACTTTTAAAATAATATCACGTTCTCCGAGATAAGCTTTCCCTTGACCCATTTTGTATAAAAAAAATATTTAAAAAAACAAATAAAAACCTAACAAGAAAACAATACATAATTTCAGAGCGAGAACAAAAAATTTAAAGACGATGCATACGTGAGCGCACGGCAGCGTTGCTAACGGTACTAACTAGGCGAGCCCGGAACGCGGTCGGCGGAGGCGCGAGTAGTCGTCGGCAAAATTTCTGCGCGCGACTAACGTAACACTTACTTCACTTTACATGGTTATCGTTGAAATTTTTATGGGTTATATAATCTGCATATTGTAATGAAACAATTCTCAAAAATATCACATTATTAATATGCAATATATATGTTGAAAACTATCATATAAAACGGAAGATTTATACACATTTAACCATTAAATATAAAGCAAAAAGACCTTTACATTTTGTGGTCTTTTAACAGCAGATGAGACACCATTTGAAGTAGACTCCCCACAAAGTGTACAAGGCCGACCTGCTGCCTCTCCTGTATCCAATTCTATCATTCCAACACAGCACCCAACTCCAGCACACAGCAACTTTAGCCAATTCTTTAGTTCTTCATTTGTAATGTCAGATGGCACCTTTACTGAGTAAGTCTTATTTCCAGTTGATACCTTAAATGAATAATTAACAAAGCAATTAAGAAAATTATTTTTAATAACTTAATTTAAAATAAATAAAATATTTCTTTTTCCGTGAAATTTCATTACAATTAGTTCAGCCATTCTGTAGATTAGACCAGCCATACATACAGACGGACTGACAAGAACTTTAAAAATGCTGTCTTAATGGCATACAAATCCATGCAGGCAGACACTTCAACTTTCTTTATATGTGTTAATTTACACTATTTACATTAGGCCATGCCTCAATGAATGCATGCCAATGTCAAACTGAAGACTTCTATCTACTTATCAAACACTAATAGCCTGTGGTCAAACAGTCGCACAGAGCACATAATCACTACATTTTATTGGCACAGAGTACATATTGTCGACAAATTTAAAATGTTGCCAACAAATAATTTCTACTTAAATTTGTGTGATTTCAAATGTTCTTTTTTCAAATCTGTGGAGTGTAGATCAAGGCAATAAAGGGTTTATTTTATGATTGGTGGGGTATATATCTGTGTTTCATATATTAATATGCAGTTGAACGTGAAATACAGCATGCTTTATACAATCTTAAAAATGTAATTACTCATAAATAAAATTAAAGTGTCTGTTTGTAATGTTAAAATAACAGCTTTTTACTAAATGCATATGAAATTATCTACGGTACTAATAACAAAAAAAAAAACAATTTTTAAAATTTTTCTATCTGTCTGTCTGTTTGTTCCGGCTAATCTATGAAACGGCTGAACCAATTTTGACGGGACTTTCACTGGCAGATAGCTGATGTCATAAGGAGTAACTTAGGATATTTTTATTTTAGAAAAAGAATTAGAGTACCGCGCAAAAAAATTAAAACCCATAAAATCGTATTAAATTCCACACTATGTGAAGTCGCAGGGGACAGCTAGTATAGACTAAACATGTTCACAAATGGCACTTAACTGTGGTAGCACTATAAATTTTTAATGGATAAAATATGTACAAAAGAACTTATAAACTTATTTAAAAATAGAATATTAGTAATTTAAAAAAAAATTACCTGAACAGTAGATAAACTTGTGTAACTACCGGAAGCAGTTAATATCGCCCGTGTTATCTTCTGAGGATCAGGATAAACACTCAAAAGCTCCTTAACAAGAGCCTCTGCAGCTCCCGATGGTCCCGAGCCTGACACCATATTAGGCAAAGAAGAATTTCCTCCTGAACAACTGCTATGAACTCGCAAATGAACTGAAGCCAAGGGAGTTGATGTAGTTGGATTTGTAGCATTTGTACCTCCAGTGGATCCACCTTCAGGTAAGGCAGGATTTGGCATTCCAATGGGCCGTAACTTGAACCTTAAATATAGGAAATATTACACAATTATAGGAATATTATAAAAAAATTATATAGAGAATATTGTTTAAATGACAATCAAGTTATATTCAGTTTAGAGCTTAGTTACAGACCCAGAACAAATTTTATATGTCGAAACAAAAAGTGCTGCACAGCTGATACTATCATGACCTTGAACAACCCTTAATTGATAACATTACCATTACAGCCTACCCAGTCTACTGCTGAATGTAGGCCTCCACCCCACAGATTGCCTCATAGGATGGATAAGTTCTATAGTTACCATGCTTGGCAAGCAGTTTGGCAACCACAGTATATTTTATTTTTATTCAGCTGTTATCAAGAAGATGCTGCTGCCCAACTGCTGGTTCAGTTTCCCTCTATAGCCCTTTACGACACCAACGTGATGATGTGGGGTAGCGGATATTCTTAAACTGCCACTACACAGAAAATTAATAAAGCTGAATCTAATACATAGTTAAAAATACATTTCTTATTCCCTGAAACGAAAGGTTTTATTATTGCATTCCACAATCAAGTTATAAATACCCGCAATTACAGAAAATATAGCATTAAAGATCTTACTATAATACTTGGTAAGTGTCGATAGTGTGTCATATATTCTAAAACCAATTAGACATTAATACAAACATCGGATCCAAACCTATTACAGCCATAGACACTAGCAGGTAGCCAAAATCATGTACCAAACTCTTACTATTCAACATAACCTCATTAAAAGATACACTAACATCTTATTATAGGTACCCTAAATAATGTTCTAGAAAATACAACACAAGTTGTATTACACATGTGATACAACTGATAAAACAATAGTTTACAATAGTTGTTACAGGATAAACTATAAAACCTATCTCATTGATACAGCTTTACTCAACACACAATATTACAAAAACGATGTCTGAAAAACCCACAAATAGTAAAATGCTGCATCTGAATACCAAGAAGATAAGAGAAAGTAGTCAGGTGTAAGTCTAAAACATCTTCACCATTGGCTTAAACTATTGAATATGAAATACAGTGGACTAGAGTCCATTGCTGAACATAGGCCTCCCCCTTTGATTGCCTCAGTTGCCTTGGATTTTGCCTCAGTTGCCACAGTTGGCAGGCGGGTTGGCAACCATAGTTTTTGATGATTTTGAGTTGTTATCAGGAAGATACTGCTGCCCTTCTTCTGTTTTAGTTTCTCCCTGTCCCTTTTTACAACACCCAAGGGAGTTCATTAAATTAATTATTCTGATTACTTATTAAATTTAATGTTATTTTCAAGTGTCAAGTTAATTCATGTTATCTAGAAACACGACAGTGGGTTAGCCAAGTTCTGAAAAGAAAAGGGCAAATTTTTAATTAAAGAAATACTAAAATACCAATATATACCAAAAACTATTAGACCTACATGCTTATTATTTCGCATGTCTATTAAGGCTACCTTGAATACCTAGAATCCCTAATTTTATATTGTTAATAAGCATATTACAGTTCTTTACTTAGTTTCAAGTAAGAATGCGACAGATATATCAAAACGAATTTAAAATCTTTTTTGATTTCACAAAGTACATAATCTGATTTCAAAAATCAACCTAACTAAGCTAAACTCTTACGATCTGTATCACCAAACACATCCAAATCGACAATACCCAAATCCAAATACAAACTGATACGTGGAAATCCGCTTTCTCTTTCTCTTCACTCTTTCTAACCAAACATGATATAGCGGAATGAAAAGGATAGCGTGAATTACACGATTCAGATTTCGGTTTGTCGGCTATGGAAATCTATTGCACATTGAAATATGTGATCAATATTATATGGCTAAGTACTTAAAGTCTATATTTGCTTTGCGAGCTTATGCCTTGATAAATTTTTGGTTCCGGGTGTTTGCCAACTAGAAACTTAAATATGCAATCAATATCATTCTTCTTATTAAGTTGTTAAAGACTATATTTGCGAGATTTTTTGATGATTTGTTTTTGTTTTTCATTTAGTTTTTGTTTACTAGAAACAATATTTTGTTTTAATGTTGTTTTCCTTTAAATGCAAATTTGACCTTGATGACAAATGCACACGTGCCGGTCAGTCGTATCAGTGGATTAGAGGTATTTTTCAGTCTCATTAAAACTTTGGTTTAGTGACTGTTTATTTCAGGCAGGGCCTCCCTAGCTTGTCTACAGTCTACTATATTTTTCCAAAGCTGAGCGTGTTGATTAGTGAAGTGTCTACATAACAGAGAACGAATGTTACCAAAGGGGATTGGTATGATTGGTTCCGGCCCTATAGTGGCCAGAGCCGATCCTCTTCTGTCCAGTTCATCTGCTGCATCGTTGCCTCTGGATCCACTGTGTCCCTTTATCCATTGCAGAGTCACAGTGTTGTTTTTACATACCACATTTAATCATTGATGGCATTCATATACTAGTCCCGAGTTCACCACATTGCAACTCAGAGCTTGTAGTACCGCCCTACTGTCGGTCAGTATTCTGATGGGGTAGTCATTAACCTTCCTAGCATCTATTGCTATGGCCGCTTGAAGGATACCCATACATTCCGCCTGAAAGACTGTGTTATAGGTACCCAGCGGTGTGCATATGTGAATATTGAGATCTTCAGAGAAAGTTCCAGAACCTACACCTTCATTTGTTTTAGAACCATCGGTAAAAACTCTAAGCTCTTTTGGGCTTAATCCTTCCAGCTGGCTGGTTTCATTTAATTGTATCTTGTACTTCTTATCGAAAACAAATTGTTTAGGAATCTTATCATACTTGGCTTGTAGGATAGGAATTTTTGAGTGAATTCTATCAATTATGCCTGTATGAGGGACACTATTCTTACTCCAAAGATTTAGGGTTTTGAGTCTGATGGCAGCTAAAGTCGCTTCTTGTTGTATATGTAGATGAAGCGGAGTTTGCTCCAAAGGCACTTTTGGCGTAGTTCTTATGCAGCCTGTCCAGCCACACATGCCAGTCTCTGGTAGCGCTGAAGCTTCTTAATATTGGTGGCTTCATTTATCTTGGTCCACCATACCAGAGCGTCGTATATGATCATGGGCCGAATTACAGTTTGGTAAAGCCACAGTATGATTTTTGGTTTCAGTCAACATCTTCTGCCAATCATGTTTCTGCATTGTCAGGAAGTTATACTAGCTTTGTTGATTTTGTTTTCTATGTGTTTAGTCCAGTTAAGTGTGCTGTCCAAGGTAAGACCTAAATATTTTACCTCAGAGGATAGCTGGAGTTTTGTACTGAAAAGACTTGGAAGATGATAGTTATTCAGCATTCGTTTTTGTGTGAACATTACTAGAACCGTTTTATTTGGATTGACGGTTAAGTCGTATACCCTGCACCATCTCTCCACTATACGGAGAGCCGCTTGGGTCAGGTCGCACACTATGCTTGCTGTCTTTCCAGAGACCAGTATTGTCAGGTCATCAGCATAACCTACTGTGTAGAAGTGATTGGCATATAATTTGCTGATGAGTTCATTAATGACTATATTCCAGGACAGGAGAGGTGAGAGAACCCCACCCTGCGAGCAGTCTTTTTTAATTTGGATTGATTGAGATTCATCAGCAATCTTTATTATTTGTGTACTGAGCATGTATAGTGTATACTATACAGTCAATCAGTGACGGTTCAACTTTATGTCTACTGAGTGCACCTTTTATGCTGGAGAAGTTCGTTCTGTCAAAAGCACCTCCTATATCTATGAAGGAACCTAGACATATTTCTTTGTTTTGGATGGCCTCTTCAATCTTTGTAATTAACTGGTGAAGTGCCGATTCTGTTGATTTGCCTAGATTGTAGGCGTGTTGCTTGTCCTGTAGTAGTAAGTTCATTAGCGTTGACCCCCTTAATTCCCTTTCACACATACTCTCCATCGTCTTTAGGAGAAAGGATGTGAGGCTAATGGGCCTGTAGGATTTAGGGTCAGTGTAGTCACTCTTACCTGGTTTGGGTATGAATGTGACTTTTACTTCCCTCCATCCCCTAGGAACATATTTAAGGCTCTCATTATGGCAACAAGTCTGACTACCCCCCCATTGTAGGAGTGCCGGGAATATGCCGTCAGGTCCTGCCGCCTTATAGGGGAGGAAACTGTGAATAGCCCAATGGATTTTGTCCATCGTTACCACTCTCTGTGCTAAATTCCAGTCTTCTGCTGTTGGTGTCAGTATGTCGTCATGCCGGTTTACCTCCTGAGTTACGCAACAACCTGGGAAGTGCGTTTCAATTAAGATGCGTTGGGCTTCATCCGGTGATGTTGAGTAGCTATCGACGGGTTTCTTTAGAGAGATGGATCCCGACGTGTTTTATTTAGCTAGAATATTCCTTATCCTATTTGCTTGTTCACAGGTTTCTATGTTGCCATAGAATTTACGCCACCCAGTCGAGTGTCGATACCTGATACATTTTTTGTATTCAGACTTAGCTTTCTTATATAGTAGCCAGTCTTCATCCATTGAGGTATTCATGGCCCTATTTAGGGCTTTTCTTACCTTCTTACATTTCCTACCTAGTTCTTTACCCCACCACGGTTGCTTTACCTCAGCATGCCTTAGTGGAGTATAAATTACAGGTTATTTACTGTTGTTAATTGCCTGTTTGTTTGGCAGAGTTTAGAGTAAAGAAAATAAAAATTTGTTAATTAAGTTGAATTGTATGTGAGTGTATATATATAGTTTTTTTTTTCTTTTTTTATAGGAGAGGGGGCAAACGAGCATGCGGCTCACCTGATGGTAAGTGACTACCGCCGCCCATGAACAACCGCAACACCAGGGGAATTGCAGATGCGTTGCCGGCCTTTTAAAAAGGAGTAGGCTCTTTTCTTTAAGATCCCTAAGTCGTATCGGTCCGGAAAAATCGCTGGTGGTAAACTATTCCACAAGGAAGTTGTGCGAGGAAGAAAACATCTTCTAAATCGCACAGTGGTGGACCGCCAATTATCCAGATGCTGTGGATGGAATCGGGAGTTCTGCCGCGATGTGCGTTCGTGAAATTTGGCGGGTGGGATTAATCCGAACAATTCCTCAGAGCACTCCCCATGGTAAATGCGAAAGAAAATGCAAAGAGATGCAACATCTCTTCGCAGTGCCAATGAGTCGAGCCGATCGGAAAGGACTCGGTCGTTACGATTCGAGCCGCTCTGCGCTGGATGCGGTCAAGTGGAAGGAGCTGGCACTGGGGAGCCCCAGCCCTGAGATGGGAACAGTATTCCATGTGAGGCCGAACCTGCGCCTTGTAAAGTTGCAGGCGTTGAGCTGGCATGAAATACTGTCCCGCTCTGCTGAGCACGCCAAGCTTTTTGGAGGCCCATTTGGCCTTCTCTTCCAAGTGACCACGAAACTGCACGTCACTCGATATGTCGACGCCGAGGATTCCGATACTGGCTGAGGCAACAAGGGGAGTACCTTGAAACTGAGGAGATACGACAAGGGGGTTCTTTTTAGCGGTAAACGCGCAAACTTGTGTCTTCTGAGGATTAAACTGGACTAGATTTAGTCGCCCTCAATCCGAGACTTTGTCCAGCAAAGACTCGACTTCAGACACAAGTTTGTTCCGGTACTAGGTGACAGGTACTTTTAACAGTGGTAGAGCCACGTTAAATCATGGAAGACAGCTTTTGTCCATCCGATCCCTAAAAAAGGCGACCGCTCAGACCCGTCCAACTACAGGCCTATCGCCATCACCCCCTTGTTCTCCAAAATAATGGAATCCGTTATAAACTGCCACCTCATGCGGTACCTTGAGGATCACCAGCTGATTAGTGACCGCCAGTACGGTTTTCGTCGGGGTCGATCAGCTGGTGATCTTCTGGTCTACTTAACTCATACATGGGCGGAGGCAGTAGAGTCCAAGGGGGAGGCATTGGCCGTTAGTTTGGACATTGCGAAGGCCTCCAATCGGGTTTGGCACAAAGCGCTTCTTTCGAAGCTCCTTTCCTATGCTCCTTGCAGATCGGAGCATCAAGGTCGTAGTAGACAGTGCATGCTCCGACTACAAGCCTATTAACGCTGGTGTTCCACAAGGCTGCATGCTATCACCAACGCTGTTTCTTCTGCATATCAATGATATGTTGCAAGTCGGTAGCATTCATTGCTATGCGGATGACAGCACTGGTGATGCTCTATTTTTTTTTTTTTAGGAAAAGGACGACAAACGAGCACACAGTCCACCTGATGGTAAGTGGTTGCTGCGGCCCATAGACATCTACATCTATTCTCTGTTACAAATCAAAATCTAGATGCGTTGTCACCCGTGAGGACTAAGATGAAATGCCTCATTTCCAGTAAAAAGGGCCTCCGGCCACCTGCACTCACCAAACGAAACGCGGAAGCAGAGCTTGAAGCTCCACTTCACGCCGGTATTGTGAGGTCGTGGTACAACCCGGCTCGAGCCGGCCCATACGTGCAACAGCAAAAGCTGCTGCATGGCTCTACCACCGTTAAAAGTTTATATATCATTTAAATATTTTTGATATTGACTATCAAGATTTTTTGTTTAGATTTTTTAATTGATTAAAAGAGAACTGTTTTGACAATTTTTAAATGCAATGAAAAAGTTATAATTTCATACAAAACTTTTCTGCTAGTCCTAAGCCTAGATTACAGCATGAAGGATAATCGCACAAATCTGTTTCTGTATTACATTTGCATTTGTCATTTAGTAGCTAAGCGCTACTGAAATTGGATTTTTAAAAATGGATTTTGAAATCTGGAATTGGATAAATATCAGTTTCCATTCAAATCAAAAACCTACCATGACTAGACAAGTCCTAAATAAATGAATAATAAAACTTTTCAAAAATTACTGGAAAATTATTAAAATTAAGCTCTACAGCAGTTCTTTAGATTAAAAGAAGTTTCATTCTTTAATATTGAATTTGTAAGCTGGCAAGTTTTATATTTAACCAAATTATAGCAAATAATAAAATAACCCAAATTACCTTAAATTTTAAGCTTGTATTAAATATCATCATGTTAAGCATAATTTATTGACTATTATCACTTGTTATTTTTTATTTTATTTATTTTATTGAATAAAGTACACAAACAGACAGTTCTAAAATTAAAAGTATGATGGTGTTGATCTAAACTACAATCCAAAAAGTGTACACAGCATAATAATATAACTTCAGTAGAATAACAAAAATAAAGAAGATAAAAATCAATAAACACTTCCACGCTCACATTGGCAAATAATCAAAAACTGCCATAAAAAAGAAAGATGAAGAAGAAGAAAATAAAAAAATACATTAAAAATTAAGAGCAACATAAATTTCTTTTAAATCTAACAAGGCTACTATCAAATATATCTAGATGTAAGTTACTACACTTAATCTCGTCGTAATCACAGCACATTTTGACAACAGGGTTGAAAAAGAAGTATTATTCCTGTGTACGTTTAACCTAAATATTCTTTGAACACGTTGTTGTATATCGGAATTTAAGTTAATTAGCCTTAGTACCTCTGGGCAATCTATATGAGAATGTACAATCTTGTGCAAGAAAACTTGTTCGGCAAATTACTATGCTGTTTTAAATTCAATATCAAAGTATTCTTTTAAATTAATTGAAGAACATTGTTCATTCCCATAGCTAAAATTTAACAAACTGATATGTATCTTAAACACTCTTTCAGATCTTAACTCTTTTATTGATAAAGCTGACAATGCCGAACTTTGTTTACATTAGAATTTGCCTTATTTTTATGTTAATGTTTTAGGTAGGATGTCATTTAAATCAAAACTATTAATCATCACCACAGCCTTTCACAAGTCAAGGAATGCCACAAAGCACGGTCCTGAGTCACCAGCATCCATTGACTTCCAACATATCTTACTAGGTCATCACACCATCGAGAGAAAAGTCACCCTACACTTTCTTTACCTGTACGAGGATGTCGTGAGAACTTTTCTTCACCATTGGTTTTCAGTTTTTTCACTATATAGCTGGTCCATTGTTACTTACTAATCCAGATTAGTAAATTATTAATATTACATTCGGCAGAGTCAAGAAGGGACACCCTAGGCAAAAGTTTATCAACCAAATTGGTGATATATTGAAAATGGGTCAAATTAAAAGTATCTTTAGCCGACAAGCATGTATACGGAGGTATATGGATGTGGAGGAAGCAAGAGGTGTCAGAATTGTGCCAAATGGAAGTCGCATAGTTTCTGCCTACCCCTCTGGGTGACAGGTGGGTTTATGTATTATGTATGTAATATTACATAACATATTTATATATTATATTAAATGCTATTTTGAAACAAAAGAACAAGATTTACCTAGAAGGAGTTGCTGCACTTTTTTGCCCTGGTGGTTGTAAGGGATGACCAGCTCTAGCACACCACCCAACTGGAAATATATCTCTTGAATCATATCGACACCAATAATCAAAAGCTCCCCTCCAACCATCAAATGTGACATGGATTTGGTCATTCTTAACTGCTCCAACAGTAGCACAACATATTAACTGTGGATTTTTCTTATCAACTGCTTCCAACTTTTGACCAACAACAAATAAATTAGATTTTGGTGTAGGTGGCTCAGATTGAAACACCTTAGCTGGGGCCATCTCGGCTCCATTTAAAGTCTTTAACAGAAACATTGGCCAACTACTGGCATTCATACGGAAACCGAGAGGAGGCTGTAACATTCCATCATTCTTTTCACAATGTCCTATGGGATGGATATCACCAGCATCAACAAGTCTCCAAAAATCATTTTTGTTATCACTACCATCTAATCTCAACCTAAGTCGTGGGCCTAAAACCCCAACCACTGTTGCAATACATGTTGAAGTTAAATTGCGCGGATCCAAAGCTTCTAATTTCATATTGACTTTAAAATCATTGAGTGGGGGCACTGGTGCTTGCTTAAAACATTCCTGTGGCGCTGCTGTACTATTAGTCTCTTTCATATACTCATTCCAATCAAAAGATTGAAAAATGTCATAAAAGGAGCCTGTCGAATTGTTTGAATGATTTTCTGATCCATTTGCTCCATTCCCAGACTGTGGTGAAGTAGTTCGTTTTTCATTTTTCTTTTGATATTTATTAAGGCAATACGTAGAACAAAAATTCTTACTACTCGGAGGAGCACTACCTCGAATGACATTGTCGCAGTTCAGACAAGCTCCTTTACTATATGCTTGTCGAAATTCAGATAGACATGTTTCTGAACAAAACTCTTTTTTCCCATTCTCAGTAGGCAAGACATACTTTAATGGTGTTTTACTCTCAGCACACCAAGTACAAGTACGTTTAGGTGGTCTTCCAGGTCCACGTATTTTGCCGGGAGCATGCCCTGACGAACCGACAGTATTGTTTGACATTGTTCGTATTGTAAATTCAAAACATTATTTCAAATGGTCCATTTGGATACTTTATAACACCATTACATTTTACAGAGAACTCGCAAATGTTTTATATCAATGATCCACGATTTTGCGCAAATATAAACAACGTCAGAAACTATTTATGACGCCATTCCAACGGCCATATTACTTTTTGTTTTTGTTTTCTGTTCTGTCTTTTATTCTCTGTGCTCTGTGGTCAGTGTGACCATTGTAGAAATAGTGAATCTAACCCAAGGAGGTTGTAAAATATAGGGAGTGCGCACTTCATACTAGAGAAACGTTCCTAAATCAGTGACCTTGAAATGAATGAAAGGCACCGAGTTAAGCGTTGCATTTCTTTCTAATAGAGTGTCTATGATACAATATTTTGAGGATATTATTAGTGTATACAGCATCACGGAAAACGAAATGCGTATTTTTTTTCAATATGGAAAGTGCTGAATAGTGTCATAATGAAACTCCGTTTTATATTTTGATTACATTGTTGCTTCGCCAGAGTATCAAAACTTACGGTAACTAGTGGCAGCGTAGTGTGGGTGAATACCCAGGGCGGTTTTCTATCAAGCACCCCCAAAATAAAACCAAAAATGCTATACATGCTAACGGGACTTTATTTTGCTAAAATATTCTAATATATTATCAAAGTTTACTTCCTTGTCATTTTCGATAGATAAAATGGAAAGATTGGTAAGTCGCGCTTGGCTCATTGTGGACCTTAAGTAATATTTTATAAACTTAATAGTAAAAAAAGTCTTAGACACAATACTAGATTCAGAACAGATTCAGAATAGCCCAATTTTCCGAGAAAAGCTCCAATGAATTACATTGAACCACTTCTTGGGAAGAAATGCTGGCAACTTTTAAGTCGTAAAATCGCCAAAATTATATGTACTACAGAAAAGTCATCGTAGATTTTGGTTAGATTTTGAACTATTACAGGAAGATCTTCATCTGGTGACGTCAGTAGAGTGTAAGGCTGAACAACACTAAATGTTACGAGAATATCATCCATTGCTCTGTAGCGATAGTCTAGTTCCTCGTAAAATATGTCAAGACATTCTAACAGCTTTCTGCAGCTCCTCTGGCAATGTTAGTCCAGAAAATCGGGTCATTTCTCCTGGTAAACATTTTCGATATCTCCTCATTTCTCTTCTTCCTTCAATCAAAATGTCCACATTTTCACATAGACACATAGAAATAGCTTTTACCACTAGTTGAATACGTTGGCTTTGAAGGAAAAATTTTGGGCTTTGATTTTTATCTCATACTTTTCCAGTGATAATCTAGATTATTGTTATATTATTTAGTATTTGCTATTTCTTTTAGGATTTTACACCAAAAGGAAAGATAGCATAAAAACTTGAAGTCTCACAAAGCTGGTGAGAGTGTAGATACTGCTTCTTTTGTATCGACGTTTGCTCTGTTGGTGCTGGGATCATATATTTCTTCGAGTGTTTATACTAGTTTTTTTTTTTAATTTTAAAAATTCTGCAGTGGTTTAACAGCATCATGATGAGCAATCCATCTTGTCTCTGTGAGTCTTTTGACTGTTATGCCTACACTTTTTATTAAAGTTTCCCATTGACGTGTGGATGATGAAAAGAACCTGTAAACTCTTTCTACTGTTCCGAAAAAAAGTTAAACTTGAATTAACGCTCCCTAAGTGAGTGCACTCCCCATAGATTTAGCGAATGATTAGCACAAAGCGTTTTCTACGTGGTAGAGCCATGCTACAGCTATAGAAGTAGTATAGAAAATATAACATAAACACTCACGCCTGTCACCCAGAGGGGTAGGCAGAGACTATGGACTTCCATTTGGCACGATCCTGACTCACCTCTCTCGCTTCCTCCACATCCGTATACCTACGCATACACGCTCGTCGGTTAAAGGTACTCTTGATTTGGCCCATTTTCAATATATCGCCAATTTGGTCGATAAACTTTCGCCTAGGGCGTCCCTTCCCGACTCTGCCGTTCACCTCTTCAACATAAATTTACTTTGTCACTCTTTCCTCATTCATTCTTTCTACATGACCAAACCACCGAAGCATTTCTTTCTTAATCCTGGTCACAACATCATTTTGCAAACCACACTCTTCTCTTGTCACACAATTTCACACTGTGTCATTCAGATTCATCCCTAAAATACTCCTTAATGACCGCATTTCTACAGCATTTATTCTACTCTCGTGCTTCTTCTGCAACACCCAACTTTCACTACCATACATTAAAGTAGGGACTAACACAGCATTGTGAATTGCCATAAGTGCCTTTTTGGACAAATTCTGACTTCTCACAATAGTAATAGTAGTATAGTTGTAGGACAAATGGGTCGGCTCGATCGGGGAAGGAACTGTCCCTCACAGAATACCAGCGTAAATTAGGAGCTCAACACTGATGTATTTCGTATGGTGAGTGTAGAAAACCGGAGACCCTTTTTACTGGAAAAAAGGCATTTCATCTTAGTCCTCACGGGTGACAACGCACCTGCATTTTGATTCGCAAACGTGGATAGCTGTAGATGTCTATGGGCCACAGCAACCACTTACTGTGTGCTGTGGCCCATAGTGAGACTGTGTGCTCGTTTGTCAACCTATTCTATAAAAAAACAACATATTGATTCATTTGACAACGTAAAATTTTAAAATAGTGTTGTCATCAATGGTGTAAAATGCACCTCCTAATTTTTAGGAAAAGAACATTCGTGTAACAGAAACAGAAACTTTTTTATTCAATATAGATTATAAATAATACTTATTGAAAGTCACTCTTTTGTTTAAATTACCACTGGTTCGGAAAAAAACCTCTGTCTTGGGAAGAACCAGCAAGAAACCCAGCGGGACTTTTTTTTAATAACAGCTTACAATCATGTATGTTACACAAATTAACAACACAACAAATTAGAAACAGCTTGGTAGCGATCACCTCATTTCCAAGGGTTATTATCATCCATAAATCCTTAATACTATAATAACCCTTTTTATATAAACTTAGTTTAATAAAATTTTTGAATTTTGAGCCGGTCAAATTTTGTATATTTTCTGGAATTTTGTTGTAAAAGCGTATACATCGCCCCAAGAATGAATTACTGACTCGATGGAGTCGAGTAACTGGTACTACTAGCTTGTGTCTGTTCCTAGTATTTACAGAATGAATATCACTTATTTTTGTAAAACTACTTTTATTTTTGTGTACGTACACTACATTTTCATAAATGTATTGAGAAGCCAAAGTTAATATATTAATTTCCTTAAATTTTTGTCGCAGCGACTCTTTAGGCCTTAAATCATAAATTGCTCTCATGGCCCTCTTCTGTAAAACAAATATAATTTCAGTGTCAGCTGCGTGTCCCCATAGCAAAATACCATACGACATTATGCTATGGAAATAGCTAAAGTAAACTAGTCTAGCTGTTTCAACGCTGGTTAGAGTTCTAATCTTTTTTACAGCATATGCTGCAGAACTAAGTCTGCTTGCTAGTTTTGATATATGGGGGCTCCATTGAAGCTTCGCGTAAAGTGTGATTCCAAAAAAAATGGTGGTATCTACAAGACTCAATTTCTCCCCATTTAAAATTACATTAGTATTTAATTGTTTGACATTTAGAGTCATAAATTTCATACATTAAAATGTTTTAGTGGTTTTTTTTCGTGTTACTTAATAATAAGCTTAATTAAAATACAATATGGAATATACCAACTATGGTTAGCAATAGAAAATGTAAGATTATCGTTCTAGCATACATCTAAAATATTACTTTAAGTCAATAACTGTCTAAAAGTTGGTAATGTTTTTATTTTGTGTAAACATTTATCAATGTTAGAAGGAGCAAAAATACAAAACTCGGTGCCTCTCTTTCTAAGAAAAGTGAGGAACGGTTACAATGTTCTAAGCGCTCACTCCCTATATTATATTATAACCTCCTTGATCTAACCCTACTTCGACGAGAAAAAAAGTATTTCAATTAAATTCTTTAATATATATTTATCTATGATTCTTTAATCGACCTACATAAAATAGGTACATATAATATATCAAATCATTGTAACTGGTTTTTAAGTGAAGATAAAGTGTGATTCAAAATTCAATGAACCTGAGAAGTAGGTAAAAGTTTGGCACACAAATATATCTACTACTAGCTTTTTACCCGCGTCTTCGCTCGCGTGAGCTTGAATTTAGTAACATCATTAAATGCTGTTCCGTGCTAAATTTAGAAAATTCGATCACTTTTAGAGTCACCTCGGTGTCTGTGTCTCTACGTCTGTGAAATATTTTTTTAATTCTAAAAGACTATTAGACGTAGATGATTGGTAACATGCTACAGGAAAACGTGAATATATATGTCTAAAAACACCTACTATTTTTTTATCGGGCGTGTCTTCCAAGGTATCCATAAGAAAGATAAATAGTCTTGGAATCAAAATTTATTATTATTATTTAGGTACATTTTACTCTTTACATTTATTCATAATTAAAGTTAATTTAGTTTTAACAAAATAATATAATGCTTATTTGAGAGATTTTATTCATATCATTGGTTTAATATTGATTGGCACCATAAAATAGATGTAGATATTTTTTTTTTTACTTCGAGTAGACTTCAAAATTTCATAAATACAGTTCTATAATAATGAATACCACACATGGGTTAAAACTAATGTCACGGGTTTTTTACGCATCTTTGATGAATGTTCCGAGTAAAAGAACATATCGTTGATGTGAAGCACCGAAGTTCCGGAAAATCTAAAATATGTCAACATGTTAAGTATCGTCCCAACCATTATATCGGATCTGATAGATCCTTGCAATAGAACATCGATTTCTAAAAATGATGATTCGCGAGGCTATTGAAATTAAATATATCCTAACTTTAATAGGGTAGATGACTGAGTGCGACTATCTACTAAGGACCCCATCTATACAAATAAATTAAATTGAAGTGCCTGTTTGTAATGTCGAAATAACAGCTTTTTT